GGGCTCAGAGGCTGGCCGTCCAGGCATCCGTGCCCCCGAGGGACCCGGGGAGGGCATGGAGGGGGCATGCTGGGCATGAGGTGGTGTATTCTGCTCACCTCCCGTTCCCAGATGAGAATGAACTGGTGAACTGCCAGACCCTGCTACAATGAGGATCCTGAGCCGCCCTGCCAACTCCTGAAGACCACTGCCGTTCAAACTGCCTGCACGGAGGCCAGTAGGATCCCTCCCTCCTTCCCTCCCTCTTTCCCTCCTTCCTTCCCCTCTCTTTCTCTCTTCTTCCTGTGCTAGTCCTGGGACTTGAACTCAGGGCCTGGGCACTGTCTCTGAACTTCTTTGCTCAAGGCTAGCACTCAACTACTTGAGCCACAGCTCAAGTAGTTAATTGGAGATATGAGTTTCCTAGACTTTCCTGCCTGGACTGGCTTCTAATAATGATCCTTAGATCTCAGCATCCTGAGTAGCTAAGAATGGCAGGTGTGATCACTGGTGCCCAGTGAATTTCTCCTCCTCCTCCTCTTCCATTTTTTTTTTTTTTTTGCTAGTCTTGTGGCTTGAACTGGGGCCTGGGCATTGTCCCTGAGCTTCTTTTGTTCAAGGCTAACACTCTACCACTTAAGCTACAGCGCCACTTCCAGTTTTCTGGTAGTTAATTGGAGATAAGAGTCTCACGGACTTTCCTGCCCATTGCCCAGTGATTTTTTTTTTTTTTTTTTTTTGTCGGTCGTGGGGCTTGAACTCTGGGCCTGGGCGCTGTCCCTGCCCAGTGATTTTTAAAGAGTTTAGCACACAAAATTTATTTGCTAAACAGCCAGGTGTCAGTAGCTCACACCTGTCATCCTAGCTACTCAGGAGGCTGAGATCTGAGGATCGATGATTGAAGCCAGCTCTTTTCTTCAATTAGGCAGAAAAAAAAAAAGAAAAGCCAGAAGCAGCGGCATGACTCAAGTAGTCGAGTACTAGCCTTGAGCAGAAAAAGTTAGGCAAGAGCATGAGGTGAAGTCCTGGGTTCAAGTTCCAGTCCTGGTATAAAAACAAAGCAGAAAATGATGGTTTATCTGTCCAAGAGTGGAGCATGAACTGTAAGAGCTGGCCTGAGGAAATGGCGCTGTAGCTCAAGTGGTAGAGCACTTGCCTTGAGCTGAAGAGCTGAGGGACAGCGCCCAGGCCCAGAGTTCAAGCCGCATGACCGACCCTCCCCCCCAAAAAAAATAGTTCCCCCTGAATATTCCTGCAGTTACACACTGCTTGTACCATCACACACATTCCGACATTTTTCATAAGATACATTTATATCAAGAAACACATTTTCTTTATCCCCTTTCAGATCTCCCTTTGAAGTTCCAACTGAGGTCTAGCCATGAATACAAAAAAAAATCCTGTCTGCAATTTTTACTTCTGTTGTCTGTGGATGAAAACAACCTCCAGGAATGAGCAGATCTACCAGAAAAATGTAGAAACAATTAGCCTGAGGGAGGGGAGTCAGGAGGGCCGGGCGGTGGGGGGGGGGGCAGCTGGCAGAGCTTCCTGTTCTGGGAACTCCTGACTGACAGCAGCGTCTCTGGCTGCAGTAGGCATGCGCCAGCACTGGGAAATAAATTATGCATGGCCGCTGCTAAATATTTCATCCATCCTTAACCATTATTTGTCTTCCTGCAGCTAAAAGGGGAATGGGAAGGAGCTGGCCCACACCATAGCAGGATCCATCTTTGTCACCCTTCCTCTCTCCCCTCAAAAAGTGCCACCAACACAGGCTGGGATGCGGCGTGTGTGGGAAAGGAGCAAGTGCGTGGCTGCTAGGGGTGGACGGTGGGCTCAAAACCAGCAGCACAGGGCTGGGAAGGTGGCTCAGTGGTAGAGCGCTTGCCTTGCATGCTCAAGGCCCTGGGTTCGATTCCTCAGCACCACATAAGCAAAAAGAAAAAAGCCAGAAGTGGCGCTGTGGCTCAAGTGGTAGAGCACTAGCCTTGAGCTGAAGAGCTGAGGGACAGTGCCCAGGCCCAGAGTTCAGGCCCCAAGACCGGACCAAAAAAAAAAAAAAAAAACCAGCAGCACACTGGGCGCCGGTGGCTCACGCCTGTCATGCTAGCTACTCAGGAGGCTGAGATCTGAGGATTGAGCAGGAAAGTCCATGAGACTCTGATCTCGAAAGAAAGAAAGAGAGGGGGGAGGGAGGGAGGGAGGGAAGGAGGGAGAAAGCTGGAAGTGGAGCTGTAGCTCAAGTGACAGACCACTAGCCTTGAGCAAAAAAGCTCAGGGAGCTAGGTGCCAGTGGCTCATGCCTATAATAATCCTAGCTTCTCAGGAGGCTGAGATCTGAGGATCATGGTTCAAAGCCAGCCTGGGCAGGAAAGTCCATGAGACTCTTATCTTCAGTTAACCACCAGAAAACCAGAAGTAGCGCTGTGGCTCAGGTGGTAAAGCACTAGCCTCGAGCTGAAGAGCTCAGGGACCAGTTTAAGCCCCAGGATCAGCACAAAGCTTTTTCTGGGAAGCACTGAGCTCTTACTAGGGTCCAGGAATGAATTTTTCTCCCATCTTGTAGGTGCAAACTGCACACCTAGCCTCTGCCTGCAGCCCGGGCCTTGCCCTGAGCCGTGTCTGCTGCAGTCACTCTGCAGCCATCTTGGATCTGGAAAGGACAGAGCTTGCCCATCCCATGCCCATCCAGACCTGTGCCTGGGTCCATGCGTGTGCAGCTCCGCCCGGCCCCCCAGTTCTCCTCGCTTAAACTCAGGCAAGTGTCTGTGCAGACAAAAAGGCAGTGCTGGGTTCAAATGCTGCTTTTCCTCTTCCCACCATCGCCCAGCTCATAATCAATTTGCTTTCCCTGCCTTCCTCCATGTCTCATTCCCCAGTGTCGGAGGGTGCAGGGCCAGCCGGGTCTGTGGAATCGCTGGTGTTTGGGATAAAATGTTTCCCCAGCCACCCTGCACGGCTTTCCACGATGGCATTTTTTGGGTGAGATCTGTTTGTAGCCCTGGTTCAAGCATTCCCCGGCACAGCCAAGCATGCGTGCGCAGAAACTCAGGTCACATCCTGACAGGCCAGATGTGCACCAGGGTCTTCGTGGGGTGTGTGAGCGCATGCTCCCTGTGTTGACAGTGTGTTGCTGAGTCAACGTGCTTTCCCAACTTCTACAGCGATTCAAGCACACGACCGAAACTGGGGGTTACCCAGGGCCCTTCCTGATTCCAGGTGATTCTTGGGTTGGCCAAGGGTCATCCAGAGAGACTGGGCTGCTGGCCTCGGCAGGTTGCTCCAGAGGCCCTGCCTCCCCCCCTTGCCCTCCCCCCCCCCCCCCCCGTAGGTATTCATCCCATTAATGATTGAGTTTCTTCTTGCATACCTGACCCAGCAGTGGAGACTGGAAAAAACCTGATACAGCCTCCTGCCTGTCAAGGTGGAAGGCAGGGAAGGAAGCCGCCATAGCAAGACCCTGTCACAAAACATTAAGCACAGCCAGGCATGGTGGCTTACACAGTAACCCCAGCTACTCGTGAGGTCAACATTGAGAGGATTGAAGTCCAGGGCCGGCACGGGAGAAAAGTGACAGACCCCATCTCAAATAATAGGGTGTGATGGCCCAAGGCCAGCTGTGACCAAAACAAAAATAGAACCAGACCCTACCCCAAAATTAAAGCAAAAGGGATGACAACTCGGCTCAAGTGGTAGAGCACCTGCCGAGTAAGTGAGGCCTGGTGTGCAAGCCTCACTTTGCGAGAGGAAAGTGCTAGTCTTTCCTGTAGCAAAATTTTGTATTTAAAATAATTTTTCAGGCTGGGTGCCAGCGGCTCACACCTGTCATCCTAGCTACTCAGGACACTGAAATCTGAGGATCATAGTTGAAAGCCATCTTGGGCAGGAAAGTCTGTGAAACTATTATCTCCAATGAGCCACCAGAAAACTGGAAGTGGCGCTGTGGCTCAAGTGGTAGAGCGCTCGCCCTTGAGCTGAAGAGTTGAGGGACAGCGCCCAGGCCCAGAGTTCAAGAACCACAACCGACAAAAATAAATAAAATTGGGTGCTGGGAATGTGGCTTAGTGGTAGAGCGCTTGCCTGGCATGCATAAAGCCCTGGGTTCGATTCCTCAGGACTACAAAAGCAGAAAAAGCCAGAAGTGGGTCTGTGGCTCAAGTGGTAACCTTGAGCAAAAAGCAGCTCAAGGACAGCCCCCAGGCCTTGAGTTCAAGGCCCAGGACTGGCAAAAAAAAAAAAAAAATCATGGCTAAACATAGCAAATTTCTTCTCCATCATCTTCTCAGAGATGGGCATCCAGCAAACAGCAGGCCCTTGTCCCGGGAGGCACAGCTAACTCATTTCCGGATGTCACTGACAGCACCAGCATGTGGCTACAGGTCAAGGCCCGGGGGGCGGCCAGGATGGGCATTACGGCATACAGCCTCCCCGGCCCCCCCAGCCCGGCATGGCCAGACCAGGCCGCCTTTCCCAGCACCAGGCTGGGGCACGCTCGTACCCCGTGTTCCTCACAGACTCCCTGCTGCTAGCAGAGACACAGAATTGGGCTGCAAGACAAGAGGCTTTCCTTTCATCAACTCTGTATCTTTTTTCCTCAGAAGTTTTGTCTCTGTGTGTGTACACACACACATACACATCAGTTCTGAGGCTTGAGTGCTGTCCCATGCTCATGCCTAGCGCTTTACCACTTGAGCCACAGCTCCATTTCTACTTTTTGGTGGCTAATTTTTTGGTCTCCAATTAACAGGACTTAGCTGCTCGGGCTGGCTTTGAACAGGGATCCTCAAATCTCATCCTCCTGAGTAGCTAGGATTACAAGAAGGAAACACTGTGAATGGCCCATTCCGGTCCATGCCACGTGCTCATGTGGTGCAGGATGGCAGTGCAGTGCCGAGCTCACTGGAAACAACCAAGTTGGGGAAGCAGATCTAACGCAGCAGCTCTCCTCCGGGCTTGCACGCTGGGCTTCCGGCCTGCTGTCCTGAGGTGGATGGTTTTCGTACAACTTCAAACAAGAAAGGAGCCTTTACACAAGTCTACCTTTATTTGTAAAAAATAATGTACAACTAAAGCTAATTTGATTTTTAAAATCAAACTTCATTTAGTGATAATGTACATTTTATAATAAAATTGTAGTAAAATACTGACATTTGATAGTTTAAACAAAGTATCATTCATGTAAAAATCATGTTTAGCATGTAAAATTTAATTAGAAAATTCATAGTTCACAAAAGTACATATATGTTGTTGATAGCTTGAGAACATTATTATAATTTTACTTAGGATACAGAACAAAATTCACAGTTAGGCCTGACACTTAGAACTATAACATTTTACACTGGATTAACTGATACTTTTGTTAGTAAGGTGCACTTGAAACAACTAATTCTGATGACCAATGAACTGATATTTTATTGTGTAACAGAGACCTATTGGTTTTTATAATGCTTAATCATTGAGCCAATAATTTAGATGACAGATCTAATTGAACACATAGTATGTAGAATTAAAAGAAAAGAGTACTAGCAGCTTTGATTTACATTTCTATGAACAGACACAAGACAAATCTGTATTGTACTCTTAAAATCTGTACAAAAGTCAAGCCCTGAAGCATGTTTCCCCAAGAGAAAAGTTCTAATGTTAAAACTTTGTTTAAAATAAAGAGGGGGGGAGGGAGAGAGAGGAAGAGGGGGGGAGAGAATTGGGGAAGAGAGAGGGGGAGGAAGAGGGGGGGGAGAGAGAGAGAGAGAGAGAGAGAGAGAGAGAGAGAGAGGTAGTGTGTACAGGTATTTTCTGTGAGCTGCTTGCCTGGCACCAGGTCTGGTCCCTTCTCTGTCTCCTCTGGCCCCTGAGGGCTCACAGAGTGGGTCCAGCCTGGAGGGGACAGGGAAGGGGGGACCGAGGGGGGCCCTCAGCAACGCAGCCACCAGAGGACTGTGCTGGAGACCCATGGACACGCAGTGTGGGGCTGCATCCAGCAATCTGCGTGTCATCTTCATAGTTACCACAGAGAAAAGAAATCATCCTTCAACACGGAGTCATCTGAACCTTCATGGTGCGCGGCACACTGCTGCGGCGTTCATTCTAGCCCTAGCATGGCATTAATTAATAAATACCGTAAGTCCCGGGCACGCTGGGTCTGAGCAGCCACGGGAGCTGGAGGTGTGCAAGCCAGGCGGCGGGGCCCTTTGTCCGCCCTGGCCCTCAGTGGAGGCATCCATCGTGAAGTCATAAAATAAATAGCCTGGCAAAGTGAGTGCGCGCTGCTGTGAGAAGCTACACGTTCTTCCTAAGTGGAGGCGGTGGTCCCGGACCGCCCCCCCGCCCCCCAACGTGGTGGAAAGCCTGGCTTTTGGATAAAAAGTGCACAAGTATATCCTGCGAGGCGTTTGAGTCCAGTGATTCCTGGGACCACGAACACAGGTTGAGAGAGCCACGCTCAGCACAGCGCAGCGCAGCAGCCGGGGCTCCAGGGAGGTCAAGGCAGGCTGGAGCCCGCGGGGAGACCCGCACCAGGCCCCCAGGGAACCAGCCTGGAGCCGAGGGGGCAGACAGGAGGGACCGCCCGTGCACAGCCCAGCCACGCGGGGAGGGACTCCCACAGCCCACCGGTGGGACTTCTTGCAAAGTGGAGAGCAATGCATTTGAAAAAGGAATGTTACACTTAACACTACTGGACTACTAATTAAAACAAAAAAGCCAAAAAAACCACAACACAGTACTAGGAACAACAGAGGGCTGAGGCTCCCGGGGCGCAGAGCTCGGGGCCCTCGTGTGTCCTGGGGCGTTAAGCAGTTAAGAGGCCAGGCGGCCGCCAGGCAGTGCGCCCAGCCTCCGGTCAGCACACAGAAGAAGCGAAGCACACGATTTCACCAGCAGTGGCTGCGCCTTACACTCCACCTGCGCCGGTTCACAAATCCGCTGTGTGTGGCACTGTCAGCCCGCAGGGCTGCTCCCCGTCCCAGCCCGCAGCCTGGTGTCGGGGTGGGTATGCCCGAGCCCACGAGCGCCCACACGCTCACAGGGTTATGATCGTTCCGTCCTCCTCCAAGAGTTTCTGACCAGGAGCCCGGGCTTCGAACTCCGGGCTTGGGCCGCTGGCCGCAGGCACCAAGGCCCCGGCACTGGAGGGGATGAAGCCATTGTGGGGCGACTCAAAGCTGAGTTCTATGTGCGTCAGGGACTCCAGGCTCTGGGCGTCGGGCGTGGCCTTGGGGATCTGCCGGGGGACCCCGTTGTCCTCGATGATGATGTCCTCCTCCTCGCTGTCCTCGTCCCCGGGCTCGAAGCGAGGCTCGACCGGCTGTGGGTAGCCCAGGCTGGTGTCCGTGGACTGGCCCGAGCTGCCCGAGGTGCGGCTGTTCCTGACCACGTTGTTCCTCTGGTTGGCCGGCCGCACGGTGATGATGAGGTTGTGGCTGTTCGCGATCATCATGTCCGTTACCTGGTCGAGACTCTTCCCTGACACCTCGATGCCATTGACTTCCAGAACTTCGTCGTTGACAGCCAGCAGCCCTGTGCTCTGCGCCAGGCCTCCCGGGACGAGCCGGGAGATGAAGATGCCCGGGACCTTCTCCAGCCCGTGCGGGGTGACCCTGACGCTCGAGCCGTCCCGGATGTAGAAGCCCAGTGGCTTCTCAGTGCCGTACTTGTAGAGGCGCACCCTGCGGTGCGTCTCCGGGAGGATGTCCACGTCGATGATGGACGACACTGGCCGGAAGTCCTGCGGCATGCTGATGACCAGGTGCGGCTTCCTCCTGTGGTTGTCGGGACGCAGCACGTTGGTGAGCGCGCTCTTCTTCTTGATGAGCGTGTCTGTACCAAAGGCACTGTAGTCTGCTTCTTCTGTTTAAAAGTCAAATATAATACAGTTACAGAAGGGTTATGAAATGCACGCCTGCCCACCGCGGAGCTGCAGGGGACAGGTGAGGCAGGGGTACCTGGCTGGCACACAGCAGGGCTACACCGAGGGAGAGCAGCCTCAGGCAGAAGGGTGGGAAGGAGCACTAGGGGGCGCTCTCTCAGCAACATGGAACACACTACATCTGGAGGCAGACCTCTCAGATCTCTCCAGCTGCCCAGGTGAGCCTCCAGCCTCCTCCTATCTCGGTCTCCCCAGTTGATGGACCACAAGTGTGCAGCACACCACTGCACTGCCCTCTACCGACTGATGCCCGAGCACCACTTTGTAATAGCTGCTTTAAGCTGAGTGCAGGTGGCTCACCCCTGTAATCCTAGCTACTACCAGATCTGAGGATGGAGGTTGGAAGCCAGCCTGGACAGACAAGTCCATGAGACTCTTATCTCCAATGAACCACCAAAAAGCCAGAAGTGGAGCTGTAGCTCAAGTAATAGAGAGCACTAGCCTTAAGGAAAAAAAAAAAGCAGCTCAGAACCAGCACTGAGTCCCTGAGTTCAAGCCCCAGGACTAGCACCAAAAAAAAATAAAAGAAAGAAAGAGCTATCAATCTGGGGCTGATGTTGGGTGAGTGGGCCTGCAACAAGTACTTAGGGTCGTGGTCTTCTGCAAACAAATCTGGAGCCACCCCCCACCCCTAACTGGGCTTCTCAGTCTTTCATTTCCCATATTGGGAAGAGTGTAAGACCTTTAATTTTCCTTCATTGTGTGAGCAATAAGGGACAATGACATTGTCATACACAGCAGACACAAGGGAGTAGCAGGGACTCTGGCACCCATCCCCAATCCCAGGCCCATTTTCCTCATGCCAGAAAGTCTGCCTTTCTGGCCCAAGTTTTGCACCTTAATGCTCTGCACTTCATGTTAAATACCACAACACCTGTATGTACCAAGAGATACACATGAAGGCTGAAATCATCCTAAAGCCAGCATGGTCATCTAGCCCATGGAGGTAGGGCCTGGGATGGAAGGAGAATCTGCCAACGCACCAGAGAAGTGGAGTGGTGAGAAGCCATCAAGGCTGACAACAGGAAGGTTGAGAAGGCTGAAATCAGATGTTTAGGGCTGGGTGTGGTGACACACACCTGCAATTCCAGCACTGGGGAGGCAGAGGCTAGAGGGTCAGGAGTTTCATGGCAGTCAGGGTTACATAGGCTGCACCCCGTTACAAAAGCAGGCAAGCACTCAAGAAACAAAAAGCAAAACCGTAACTAACTGGAGAAAGAATAAGTAAAAAAGTCAAATTTCCAACAATTAAAAAAAATACCTTATGGACTGGGAATGTGGCTGTAGAGTGCTTGCCTAGCACGCATGAAGCCCTGGGTTCGATTCCTCAGTACCATATACACAAAAAAGCCAGACGTGGTGCTGTGGCTCAAGTGGTGGAGTGCTCTCCTTGAGCAAAAGAAGCTCAGGGACAGTGCCCAGGCCCTGATCTCAAGCCCCAGGACTGGCACACACAAAAAAAAATATATGGTTGTTGTTGTTTTCGGCCTGGCCTGGGACTTGAACTCAGGGTCTGGGTTCTGTCCCTGAGCCTCTCTGTGCTCAAGGCTAGTGCTCTACCCCCTTGAGCCACAGTACCATTCCCAGCATTTCCTGAGTAGTTTATTGGAGATAAAAGTCTCACAGACTTTCCTGCCCAGGCTGGCTTTGAACCGCAATCCTCAGATCTCAGCCTCCTGGGTAGCTAAGATTACAGGTTTATAATAATAGTTTTGAAGCCAAGTAGTTCACTCCTGTAATCCTAGCTACTCAGGAGTCTGAAATCCAAGGATCATGGTTCAAAACCAGCTAGAAGTGGAGCTATGGCTCAAGTGGTAGAGCACCAGCCTTGAGCAAAAGAAGCCAAGCCAAGAGTGCAAGGCTGTGAGTTAAAGCCCCACTGCTGGCACGCATGCACAGGCAGGCACACACACACACACACACACACACACACACACACACACACACACACACACACACACACACACACACACACACACACACACACACAGTGTTGGAAATAAAACCATTGATGCAAGAATCTTTTTTGTGTAAAATGTTGTCAGAAACTGGGTGTGTTTTCTGACATGCATTTTTATTTGACAACAAGCAATAATGAGAGGCTACGCAGCATGAACAAGGGAAATTCCAGACCCTACACACTGGGACCCACATCAGCTGCCCACGCATCTCCCCATGGGAAACCTGACCAAGAAACTCCAAATCTGCATAATTTGGCATGGCATGCAGACTCCGTGTGAACGCTCGCCACCGAGTTCTCAGAAGCAATGTGCCCCAGGACAAAGGCACCTTTGTGCGTCCATCTAGCTAATCAGTTTCCAGCCACTGGGAAAGGGCTGTGCTGGCCGGAAGCCAGGGTGCAGGGTGTTGGTGTGAAGTGTAAAGGTGAATGTCCACGGGCCGGGGCTGGTGTCCCTCGGCGTGGACCCAGGGTGGGAGAAGTCCGCTCCTGACTCACAGCAGCACACCTGACTCACAGCGAACCTTCTGCCCAGCACGGGAGGATTACTCAACAGGGAGGAGACAGCAGCACCTCCTGGCCCCCAGCCCGGCTCTAAGCAAGGATCCGCCAACAGTCTTCCTTCATCCCACACTCCACCTAGCCACCAGGGCCTCTGCCTCTTTAATGTGACCTCGAAAAGCCTGCCTCTCCCATCCTCAGCAATTTGCAGACTCCAACCACGCAGGTACACAGGCTGAGGGACTTGTGAGCAGCACACAGATTCAAGAAATGAAAGCCGGTGCTGGTGGCTCATGTCTGCCATCCTAGCTATTCAGGAGGCTGAGATCTGAGGATCATGGTTCAAAAGCCAGCCAAGGCAGAAAAGCCCATGACACTTCTCTCCAATGAACCACCAGAAAGCCGGAAGTAGAGCTGTGGCTCAAAGTGGTAGAGTCCTAGCCTTGAGCTAAAGATTAGTCTAAGGACAGAGCCCAGGCCCTGAGTTCAAGACCTGCCAATAAAAGGGGAAAAAAAGAAAAAAGGCTTGGGGCTGAGAATATGGCTCAGTGGTAGAGTGCTTGCCTTGCATGCATGAAGCCTTGGGTTTGATTCCTCAGTACCACATACACAGAAAAAGCCAGAAGTGGCACTGTAGCTCAAGTGGTAGAGTACTAGCCTGAGCAAAAGAAGCTCAGGGACAGTGCCCAGGCCCTGAGTTCAAGCCCCAGGACTGGCAAGAAAAAAAAAATGGCTGGCTCCAGTTCCAGCAAGTCAGACAGTGCTGGGCATGCCTGTAATCCCTGCACTGGGGAATTTGAGGCATGGCATGCCTGAGCCTCACGGCAAGACTCTATCTCAAAAGAAAAAGCCACACAGTGTGTGTCTCCCGTACTGGGGGCCAGTGGGTTCCTCTTGCACAAGTGGCCATAACAACACACAGAGGAGCCATCGGGGATGTGTTCCCCAAGAAACTCGACAAGACCGGCCAGCAGCCTGAGTTCTCCGACCCTGCTCGGATCCAGTGCGAGGCCTGGCAGTCCCTCAAAGGGCAGGACGCCACTACGAGCGGCACGCAGATGTTGCATACTCTTCATTTCGCAGTACAGAAACATACCAATCACCAAATATTCAACCAACCGCGCCAGGCCAGGCCCTGCACCCGGTGGTGCTGCCCCAGAAGACAGCAGCAAATGTCCATCAGGAGCAACGGAATCGAAAGGGGCGGGGGCAGGGGCTGACGGGGGACCCAGCCTGGCTGGTAGCGGGGTGATGCAGGACTTTCCTGGGGAAGTGAGGTAACCAGGAGGAGGAGGAAGGCTCCAGGCTCAGGGTGCGACCCATAGGGAAGTCCAATGGAGGGGTGGGGAGAGATGGAAGGGTAGAGAGCAGACACCAGGCCTCCAGGCCAGGGACAAGGTTTGCACTCGCAGCCCCAGGCGGGGGAAGAGAAACAGGGCCTTTAAGGGAGAGGGAAGGTAATCTCATCTGGTTTTTCCCCCCATAGAGTATCCCTCCACATCGGGAAGCTGGAAAGGACAGGACGGAGGCTCTGCAGGAGGCCCCCCCACCCTGTGGAGGGGCTGGGGAGGGTAATTAGAGCACAGTTCTGGCGGGCTTGGGGAGCTGAAAGCAGGCAGGGTAAGGGCCTATGATAAGACATCCAGGTTTACACCCAAGCCATTACTGTCATGTCTGAGACGTGACTCCACAAGTTCGTTCTTTTTCTTTTTGTCATTCGTGGGGCTTGAACTCTGGGCCTGAGCTCTGTCCCTCAGCTCTTCAGTTCAAGGCCAGCACTCTACCACTTGAGCCACAGTGCCACTTCCAGTTTTTTGGTGGTTCATTGGAGATAAGCGTTTCATGGCCTTTGCTGCTCGGGCTGGCTTTGAACCGTGATCCTCAGATCTCAGCCTCCTGAGTAGCTAGGATAACAAGCGTGAGCCACTGGTATCCAGCCCCACAATTTCTTATTCAAGATCCTGAGTGAGCCCAAGCTTAACCTTCTAGTTTCTCTTCACCTCCTTTGAATAAAACCATGATGCAAACATATTTGTCCCATTTGCAAAGAGCAGCAGGGATGGCGATGTGACTCAAGGGGTAGAGTGCAGCTAAGGGACAGTGCCCAGGCCCTGAGTTCAAGCCCCGGTACCGGCACAGAGAAACTGAGGTATGGCTCCTAATTCAATCTTGAGGAGGGAGGTGTCTAAGCTCCTGTGGGCACAGCCAGGATCTGGATCTAGAAGGCCACCTCTGGCACCGGCTCAGTCCCAACCTTACGGGAGCAGTGTGTCACTGTAAAGGTACAACACGGAAGTGTTTTCTCTTTTCACTAACTGTTTAGTACTCTGGTGCCACCTAAACCAGAAGAGACGGGACTTTGTGACCCTCCTTTTGTCCCTCTCCCCAATCAACCAGGACAGCCCAGGGCTCCAGGAGGGGCCAGCAAAGGAGCTGAGGATCCGCCATACAAAACCTTTTCGCTTTGTTTTTGCTTCCTCGTTTACAGCCTAAGAAATAGGATGCAGGGCTGGGAAGGCAGCTCACTGGGAGAGCGCTTGCCCTGCATGCATGAGGCCCTGGGTTCAATTCCTCAGCACCACATAAGCAGAAAAAGCTGGAAGTGGTGCTATGGCTCCAGTGGTAGAGCACTTGCCTTGAGCTGAAGAGCTGAGGGACAGCGCCCAGGCCCAGAGTTCAGGCTCTACAACCGACAAAAAAAAAAAAAAAAGAAAAAAAAAAAAAAAAGAAATAGGATGCAATAAATTGTCTGAACAACGGAAGGGGTGACACTGACAAAGATTTATGGAATTGTAACACCTTTGTACAACTACTTAATAATGATAATTCACCCCACCCCCCCTCTGCTGACACAGGGCTTGAACTCAGGGCCTGAGCCCTGTCCCATAGCTTTTCCACTCAAAGCTGGCTGTCTATCGCTTGAGCCACTGTGCCAACTCCCACCTTTTGTTGGTGAGTTGCAGATAAGAGTCTCTTGTTTATCTGCCTGGACTGGCTCTGAACATTTCAGACCCCTGGCTCTCAGCCTCCTGAGCACCTAGGATCATAGGCGTGAGCCACTCGTGCTAGGCTGTTAAGAAGCTTTTCAAGAACTGAAATAACCCCATCTCGGAGTCTGTGCTATGAAGTATTACATATTCAACCATAAGCTTGCACTCAAAGAAACTTTACTTAGTGGAATATCAGATTTTAAAAGATTACATGGTTTTAAAGTCATTTTGGAATTTTTTTAAAGTCACTGTTTCAGCAGATAATGTGTTGTAATTAGGCAATGAAGTCGAACGAGACTTAATGTCATGCTATTTGATTCAGGAAGGTTTACATAAAATCAGCTTTTTATGTAAGCATGTTTGGCTTTGCTTGAAAGGGAAGAAAGTATCAACACAACTCCAACACGCTGTAAGTCTCTCCTGAGTTAGACACTGACAGGCCGTGGTAAATAGAATGGAACTGAAGCAGTTCACTGAGTCCCGTGGATCTGGTACGGCTGGAAGGGGCAGGGAGGTGACCCCAGGACTCCAGCTGGGCACAGCAAGGGGACTGCCTGGACAGAGCCAGGGAGGAATGCTCTTCAGGGAAGAAAAGGCAGGCCTACGCCAGACAGCAACAAGCTTGCCAGTCCAGGGACAGAATGCCAGCGGCTGTGGGCACGGGGGCCACTGGAGTGGGGGAGGCAGGGCTGCTGTCCATAACATGCAGGTCTGGCTGCAGTGGGAAGCCATCACAGGAACCAGCGAGATGCAAACAGACTCCCATATTTTTTCTGGTCATGTTGGTGTCTGTTAATTTTTAATTTTTTTTTTTCTGTCGGGCATGGGGCTTGAACTCTAGGCCTGGGCACTGTCCCTCAGCTCTTCAGTTCAAGGTGAGCACTCTACCACTTGAGCCACAGCGCCACTTCCCATTTTCTGGTGGTTCATTGGAGATAAGATCTCACGGCCATTCTTGCCCGGACTGGCTTTGAACCATGATCCTCAGATCTCAGCCTCCTAGGTAGCTAGGATTACAGGAGTGAGCCACCAGTGCCCGGCTAACTTTTAATTTTTAAATAATTAACAATTTACTTATTGTCAGTTGTGGGGCTTGAACTCTGGGCCTGGGTGCTGTCCCTCAGCTCTTCAGCTCAAGACAAGCGCTCTACCATTTGAGCCACAGTGCCACTTTCAGTTTTCTAGTGGTCTACTGGAGATAAGAGTCTCACAGACTTTCCTGCCCAGGCTGGCTTAGAACCACAACCCTCAGATCTCAGCCTCCTGAGTAGCTAGGATTATAGGCATGAGCCACTTGTACCTGGCTAAGTTTTAATTTTTATTTATTTTTTGCCAGTCCTGGGTCTTGGGCTCTGTCTCTGAGCTGCTTTTTGCTCAAGGCTAGCATTCTACCACTTGAGCCATAGCACCACTTCGGATTTTTCTTTTCTTTTTCTTTTTTTGTTGGTCGTGGGGCCTGAACTCTGGGTCTGGGCACTGTCCCTCAGCTCTTCAGCTCAAGGGTAGCATTCTACCACTTGAGCAAGCCATAGCACCACTTCCAGCTTTTTCCCTTATGTAGTGCTGAGGAATCGAACCCAGGGCCTCATGTATGCAAGGCAAGCACTCTACCACTGAGCCACCTTCCCAGCCCTCGGCTCTTTCTATGTATGTGGAATTGAACCCAGGTGTGGAATTGAACCCAGGGCCCTGGGTTCAATTCCTCAGCACCACATAAGAAAAAAGAAAAAAGCCGGAAGTGGCGCTGTAGCTCAAGTGATAGAGTGCTCACCTTGAGTTGAAGAGCTGAGGGACAGCGCCCAGGCCCAGAGTTCAGGCCCCACGACCAGCCAAACAAAACAAAACAAAACAAGGCTGGGAATGTGGCTTAGTGGTAAAGTGCTTGCCTAGCATGCATGAAGCCCTAGGTTCAATTCTTCTGTAACACATAAACAGGAAAAAGCCAGAAGTGGCACTGTGGCTCAAGTGGTAGATCTCTAGCCTTGAGCACAGAGAGGGCTCAGGGACAGAGCCCAGGCTCTGAGTTCAAGCCCCAGGATGAGCAAGAAAAAAAAAAGGTAAAAACAAACAACAACAAAAAACCATTGCTCATACAATGTACTATGTGTGCGTGCGTGTGTACATGTGCTTATTTTAGACAGGGTCTCACTATGTTGCTTAAGCTCCTTGCATCAAAGTTCTAGCTGCCAGGATTAAGGATATGTACCACCACACATAACTCAAAAAATACTTCCAAACACTCAAAATATTCAAAGGTTGATTTTAAAATTTTAAGAGATAGCCGGGTGCCGGTGGCTCACGCCTATAATCCTAACTACTCAGGAGGCTGAGATCTGAGGATCACTGTTCAAAGCCAGCCCGAGCAGGAAAGTCCATAAGATTCTTATCTCCAATAAACCATTAGAAAACCAGAAGTGGTGCTGTGACTCAAGCGGTAGAGCACTTGCCTTGAGCTGAAGAGCTCAGGGACAGCGCTCAGGCCCAGAGTTCAAGCCCCACGACCGACCAAAAAAAAAAAAAAAGATTATGTCATAACACCAAAAAGAAGAAAAATTTGGGGGTGGGGTGGGACTTGAATTCAGAACCTCAGTGCTACCCTGAGCTTTTCTGCTCAAAACTACCCTGCTTTACCACGAGGAATCGAACCCAGGGCCTCATGTATGCAAGGCAAGCACTCTACCACTGAGCCACCTTCTTGATTTTTTGGTGATTAACTGGAGATAAGAGTCTCACTAGTTTTCCTGCCCCAACTAGCTTCAAACCATAACCCTCAGCTCTCAGCCTCCTGAGTAGCTAGATCACAGATGGGAGCCACCATCACCTGACAGGAAAAGTTTAAGAGAAAACTGAAGTACAAGGTGCTGTGATACACACCTATAATCCCAGAACTAGAGAGATTGGGATTGGAAAACTGCAAACGTGAGGCCAGCCTGAATCCTACACAGCAGGACCCTGTCTCAAAAATCCAAAAGAAGCCAGTGGCTCACATCTGTAATCCTAACTACTTGGGAGGCTGACATTGGAAGGACGGTGGTTTGAGGCCAATCTGGGCAGAAGAGTTCAAGACTCAAGGAAACTCTGGACATGGTGGCTCATCTATCACCTTAGGCACACAGGAAGCCTCATGTGGGTGGCTCACACCTGGGCAGGAAGTAAGACCTTCCTTATCCCAAAGTAACAGGTAAACCTCAGGGCTGGAGCTGTGGCTCAGCGGCAAGAGCACCTCACCAAGCAGGTTTGAAGCCCTGAGTTCAGATACTTGCAATTTAAGAAAAAGTTTTAAGGACTGAAGCAGTATGTAACTCATGTGGTAGAACACCAGCCATGAATAGAAAAGGCCAAAAGAAAAGCCCAAGGCCCTGAGTTCAAGTCCCAGTACAAACACACACAAAGAAAACATTTTAAGGCTAGAGGTATGTCTCAAGCAGTAGAGCACCAGCTGCAAAAGCACAAGGCTCTCAGCTCAAACTCCAGTATGGCAAAAACAAAACAAAACCCACCTCAAACCTACACACATTGCCAAAGGGCCCCTGAAGAAGGAAGGGAAAAGCCACTAAACCTTGTTAATGTGGAGAATGCACGTTATGCAGAATGCATGTTCACTAGGTTCCCAGCAAAGTCTATGCATCCTTTCTGTGCAGAAAACCATTCCTACTTGTAACTCCACCCTGTGATCAGCGGCACGCTCAGCCGTACTCACCCTTCTTCTGAATGAAGATCCGGAGCAGCGGATTGGCGGTGGAAACAGCCTTGTGGTAGTTGTCGTCGTTGTTGATGGGCAGCAGGTCTCCGTGGATGTCTGCGTAGCCCACCAGGACCTCGACGTTGGGGATTTTGTGGACGTGCTGCAGCAGCCCATAAAACTCCTCAAATCTCCCTGGCTTTGACCTTTCCAGTGAGAAGCGCCGGAACTCAGCACCAAACTGCAAAGACAGCAAGCAGGTGAAGTAACAACAGAGGGACCCAACTAGGAAATGCAAAAGGCGGGTGTGGTGGAACCCAACCCGCCAGCTATCCCAGCTGCTGAGGCTGAGAGTTCAAGGTCAACCTGGGCAATATAGTAAGCCATCTGAAACCTCCAAAAGAAAAGGAGAAAGTCCGCTGCCAGAGGAGGAAAAGCAGAATGGCGTGAGAATGGGTCTCCCTCTGCCCCGCCGTGGCTCCCACGGGAAGGACATCTGCCCAGGCACCGGCTCAGCTCGACCCCGGGAGCTCAGGTCCCTCGGGGACCTGTCCTGCAGGGACTCAGCTCAAAGCCTGGCTGGAGCCTAAGCTGACAGCAATAGTCTCCCCACGGTGGTCATGGCGGAGGAAACATGACTCCCAGGTCTTCAGTCTGACCACTAGCCTGAGCACTTCCATCTCTTCTCCCATGTTCTCATGGGATGTGGCAAGAATCAGAGCAGGCTTCCAGAACAGACTACGCTGGGCAGCAGGGGCTACTCAGCAGGGTGTATCATCTAAGACCTAGGTCTGGAGATAAGCACTGTTTTCCCCATGGAAATACAAAATGATAAGCGTCTAAATACATTGTACATATGTGTGCTACAACTATCCTGAAATTCATGCAATAAGTGTTTTATGTGCCGACCTGGGCACTGGAGGTGCATGCCTGTAATCCTAGCTACTCAGGAGGCTGAGATCTGAGGGTCACAGTTCAAAGCCAGTCTGGACAGAAAAGTCCCCAGGACACTCTTTTTTTATTTTGGTCCATCGTGGGGGGCCTGGGAGGACACTCTTTTTTTTGGGGGGGTCCATCGTGGGGGGGAGGGGCCTGGGCGCTGTGGGGGGCCTGGGAGGACACTCTTTTTTTTTTTTGGTCCATCGTGGGGGGCCTGGGCGCTGTCCCTCAGCCACTTCCGGCTTTTTTTCTTATGTGGTGCTGAGGAATCGAACCCAGAGCCTCAGGCATGCAAGGGAAGCGCTCTACCACTGAGCCATCTTCCCAGCCCCACCCCAGGCCACTCTTATTGCCAACTAAGCACTCAAAAAAAAAAATCCCCCGGAAGTGTCCCTGTGGTTCGAGGCGTGGAGCACTAGCCTTGAGCACAAAGAGGCTGAGTTCAAGCCCCACAATGGACAAAAAAAAAAGTGTTTATGTGCTTGGCCCAGGGCTAGGCCCCAGAGCCCAAAAGGCTCAGCTCTGCTTTATTAGCTCCCCAATTAGTGGGTGAAGAGAATAATCACTTAGGGAATCCTGCAGATAGGGAGGCAGCCCTCGGCAGCCAGCGGTGGTCACGGCGCAGCCTCCAGCCTGCCCTACACCTCAGCTCTCCCAGGGCCGATCAGGAAGTGGCTGTCTTCAGCACTAGCACGGATTTATCCCTCACTGTGGGACTGGCATGGTATTTCCTCCACTGGGTTTGGAAACTTAAGAAGGCTGAAGCAGTCTCCTTTAAGTGTCCCATTCACCTAAGTTTGGGAAACCATGGGTCACTTTAACTGCCCCCTAGGGATCACTGTGAAAACCAGCACCCGAAAGGCTCAGTTATATAGGCAGGGTGCGGCTACTGGCAGAGGCTTGCCTACCGTGTTAGAGGCCCTGGGTTCTGTCAGGACACAAAAAAACCCAGGTCCTCTGTGTTTTGTCCAGAACCAGTGGCTCATGCTTATAATCCTAGCTGAGATCTACAGAACCTAGGTTTGAGAACAGCCTGGACAGAAAAGGCCATTAGTGAAAAGTTTTTTTTGTTTTTAAGGCTCAGTCGGGCACCAATGGCTCAGCGGAAGAGCTGAGGGGCAGCTCAGAGGTCTGAGTTCATGTCCCATGACTAACCAAATAAAGCAGGGCTGCCAGGCACCGGGGGCTCACGCCTATAATCCTAACTACTCAGGAGGCTGAGATCTGAGGATCGCAGTTCAAAGCCAGCCGGGGCAGGAAAGTCCATGAGACTTTTTTTTTTTTTTGGGGGGGGGTCTGGTCATGGGGCCTGAACTCTGGGCCTGGGCACTGTCCCTCAGCTCTTCAGCTCAAGGCTAGCGCTCTACCTCTTGAGCCACACCACCACTTCCGGCTTTTTTCTTTTTGCTTATGTAGTACTGAGGAATCGAACCCAGGGCCTCATGCATGCAAGGCAAGCGCTCTACCACTGAGCCACCTTCCCAGCCCCTCCATGAGACTCTTATCTCCAATTAACCATAACCAGAAGTGGTGCTGTGGCTCAAATGGTAGAGTATCCAGGCCCAGAGTTCAAGCCCCACAACAGACCAAAAAAAAAAAAGACCCTGGGTTTGACCCTCCAGAACCACAAAACTTTATCATTATTATTATTATTATGTGGTAGGTCGTGGGGCTTGAACTCTGGGCCTGGGCGCTGTTCCTCAGGTCTTCAGCTTAAGGCAAGCCCTTTACCACTTGAGCCACAGGTACCACTTCCAGTTTTCTGCTGGTTTGTTGGAGATAAGCATCTCATGGACTTTCCTGCCTGAGCTGGCTTTGAACGGTGATCCTCAGATCTCACCCTCCTAAAGTAGCTAGGATTACAGGCATGAGCCACCGGTACCACAAAACTTTTTAAGCAAATGTTTGCCCAGCAAGTTGACTACTGACCTTGTTTATCCCCTAAACCCCAACTAACACCAGGTAACACTAACCGGAGCAGCCTGAAGCCCATGCAGAGAAGCCTCTGTGCAAGGGCAGGGCTGCACAGATCCCAGGACTCAGTTTCCCCTCCCTCCGCCTCTGCCCACCCCCCCCACCCCCGCTTTTGCTGGCACTGCGGCTGTAGAGTTTCACTGGGCCTGTTCAGTCCCCCTCCACTCACTAACGTACATCAAATATAAGTAAAAACTCACTAAACACAAATAGTTAAAACAGTTCTGGAGACACGTTCCTGAAATATGAACACTAGCATTTGTCAAGAAAGTCAGGTGACTCACAATGAAAGATCTCAGAAAGCCTAGTCACACCTTCTCATTCGGGAGTCAATAAAGACTGGGGCCCACCCTTCCTATCAGCTAGCCTGGTGATGCTATCAGTCAGAGTTTCTCGGCCGAGTTTCTGACTAGCAGTCCGGGCTCAGACTCATCCCCTCCCCCACCCCTCCCGCGGCTGCCCAAGGAAGCCACCCCAAGCACTCACTGTGAACATACAGACCACAGGGGCCAAGCACCCCCTCCGCTCCTCCCGCCTGGAATCCCAGCTCCTCAGAGGCTGAGATCTCAGGATCTCAAAGCCAGCTGCTACAGGAAAGTCTGTGAGACTCTTATCTCCAATTAGCCAGCAAAAAAAAAAAAAAAAGGAAGTGGAGGTGTAGCTCCAATTCTATCAGCACCAGCCCTGTGGGGAGGGGAGTCCAGAGAGCAGGCCCTGAGTTCATGCCGAGAGAGACAGACAGACAGAGATAGAGGAGGGAGGGACACACACCACATACACAATGGGAAACTGGCTTCACAGATGTCTGTGCTTTTGCAAACGCTGGCAGCAAGAGGGGAGAGCAAGAGAAACAGTTACGCTTCTTGCAGCAAAATAAGTAGAGAACTTTTACCACATTAAGAAAATGACCATGAAAAAGTTAAGACTCAATCAGTAATCACCCACCGTGTGAACCACTTACAATGTTTTGCCTGGTCTTGTGTGTCTTGGGCATGCAGAATACCCACCCCCTGCCCAATCAGGCTACAAGAGAAAATTTTAGAAAGGCAAATGTAACTGGAATATTCTGTCTTCCTAGGAATAATGGTTAGGAAGGATTATGGCTTCAAGAATGTTGCAAGGTCACTTTATTTTTCATGGTGCTACAATCAAATCCAGTCTCACACAGGCTAGGCAAGAGCTCAGCTACTATGTCATCCGTAGCCCAGGTACAAGGTTGTTAAAAGGACACCTCTAGATTAACTGAGAATATTTCCAACTCTAGAGAAACAATTAGGAAGATAAATCAGTCACCAGAGAAGTCACATGATTGCTAGTATCACAAATTTAACTAGCCTTATATTTACATTACCCATTATTTTTACTATCTGCACTATTTTTACCTATGTAAAGATAACAAAGTTGACACTACTGTTTCCTATGCAAAAGAACAGGAGAAACGAAGATCCTAAAAGGAGAAGCTACGCAATACCTGGCCTGGGATAAGACCCTTCACAATGATGATCAGTTTGGCAAAACTGGAATCACTAAAGCAGCAGAAAGGAAATACTCCCAAAAACCTGGGCTGGGGTACAAGTCAGTGGTAGAGCACCTGCCTAGCATGTGTTTGGCCCTAGATTTGATCCTGGGTAATGGGAGAGGAACTTATGCCCAAATAGTTGAGATGATCGATGTTAAGCTGGGCGTGGTATGGCATGCCTGCAATTCTGAGACTCAAGAGGCCAAGGCAGGAAGATCACAAGTTAAAGAGGCCAGCCCGGTCTACATAGGTAGGTCCTATGTCAAGAAAAGATGACATGTTTTCTTTAACCCATTAAAAAAAACACATGTATCTACAACATGTGTTTACAACCTCAAGTGCCACAGACACAGCCTGGACACTATCTACCTAAAGTGAGCCCCATGCTCCCAATGCACATTCAGACCACTTGCTTGGAGACATGGGTCACTAGAAGCGCAGTGTGGCAGATCAAACACAGCATGTCGCTTAGACCTAAGTATGTAAAACATTCAAAAATCAGCAGGCAGAAGAGGAAGGCAAAAAAGCCTGAATTTCCAGTCTCTGCTTCCTCTCCACTTCTCACTACTAGAGACAAATTCCTATGATTTTACTTATCAGTATACCTACAATCCCTACTCATTTTTTCCTATGATTAAAAAAACTCACTCCCCAAACACGGAGACCAAACACGGAGTTTCAGGATTATGCAACATCACAATTTTTTCCCCCTTTTCATATGTCAACCCTCACAAACCCAGAGTAATGTCAGGAGAAGGTGTAACTGCTGGACACAACACGGCAAGCCCTGGTCTCTGTCGCTAGCCTGGGCTTTCCACCTTACCCACTGGCCCACACAGGCAGGGCCCAGGGCCCAGCAGGTCTTCAACTGTTTTCCGCACATTTCTGTTTTAATTAAGCAGAACCATTTCTGCCATCAGTATCTGTCCTCAGAGGCAAACTTTTTTCTTTCTCCTTTTGAGTCAGGGTCTTTCTTGCTAGGCAGGCTCAGGCTGACCTCCAGTCTCCTAATCCTCCTGGGTGCTGGGCTACAGGTGGGCACCACCATACCCTGCTTCTGATGCTCAATGTTTTTAAATATCTCTCGCACACACACACAAATCACTTTAGGAATGACAGCTTCTTGGTTAGAGAAACATGCAGAACTTTGCTATCAACCCTAGACAATAACACTATTTTCTCCACCGGCTCTCGGCAGCTTTCCAGGCGATCCTCCAGTCACTCCTCGGTCCCGTCCTGCACCTTCCCAGTTACTTCTCATCAGTGAGCCTCATTATTTCTAAAGTTGATACGATTTTACATTTCTCCTCCCCTGTGGTCCGGCCTTCTCAAGTCTATCTTCAACGTTCCCAGGGCCTGGGCAGTGTCTTCTGATTCCCGTTCTGGAAGGTCTCCTCTCCGCGTTACACTGGGAGAAGCCTCCAGTGCAAGGCTTCGTCGTCTCTCCGCAGCGGCGGACCTGGGCCCGCCAGGGCAACCGCCCCCCCCACCCGGTTCGACTCCGGAGAAGCTTGCAGAAAGTGCTCCTCGCTCCCGTGGCCGCGACCACCTTCGGGAAGAGCTGGGAGGCGTCCCCGGACCGACCCCCGCGCGGCCCCGCGCCCCGGAACTCCGAGCACCCCGAAGTCATCGCCCCCCGGCCGGCCGGCCGCGGGACGCGCGGGCCTCCGGCGGCTCCCCACGGTAAGCCGAGCGCGCTCGCCTTGGAGACGGCGCGCACCCCGAAGTTGGAGCCGGGCGCAGCCCCGGCGGGAGGCAAAGGTAACTTGTAGCCGAGCGCCGAGCTCGGGTGGCGCCCCGCGGCCGGCGGGGAGATCCCCAGGCTTCCGTGCCGCCTCCCGCGGGCGCACTGGGCGCCGGCTCCGCCCCTGAAGCCCGAGCGCGGTCGATCGCTGCGGTGGGTCGGGGTCACCCGGCAGGCGCCCCCGCCGCCCGATCCGGTAAATTCCTCCCGGGACCCCCCGCCCGGCCCGGCCCGGCCCGCGGCGGGCGGCGCCCGCGGCCTCCCCGCCCGCCCGGCCGCGCACCTTGCTCTTCACCTCCATGGTGCCCAGGCAGCCGCTGCTCGCTCCGTGCCGGTGGCCGCGGTTCATGCTGAGCGCGGGGCCGGGCCGCCCCTCCGGAGCGCGGGGCGCGGGCGCGGGCTCGGGGCGCGCCGGGGCCCGGCGCCTCGTCACCGGCACCTGCAGAGGGGCGGCCGCGGCCCGGGCGTCCGCGCAGCGCTGCGCGTGGCCAGCTTCTCCCGCGGCGGGACCGGCGGTCAGACTGGACTGGCGGCGCGACCGGCGGAGTCGCGATTCCCTTCTACTCTCGGGGCCCCGGGGGCGGCGGCGACCGCGGTGGGTGGAGAGGGCGGAGCGGAGGCCACAGGCGCCGCCGCGGCCTCGCTCTCGGCCGCCTCGGGCGCGCCCCCCCCACTCGCCCGCGCGCCCGCGCGCGCGCGAACCCAGGCCGGGCCAGCGCTTGGGCGCGTGCGCGCGCTCACCTGCAACCCCTGAGCAGCCCCGGCCGCTCGCGCTCCGCCCACACCCAATAGGAAGCGCGCACCTGCGCCCGCAGCGCCAACCAATCCTTACACGTCTTGCGTGATGGATGGGCGGGCCGCTTTCGCATAGGCCACGCCCACTAGCACTCGATTGGTGCTGAATTAAGAGGGAGGGGCGGATCACCTGAAGCTTGTGGGCCTTCCGAACTCAGCAGGAGAGCGGAAGGGCGCATGCGCCAGCCTTGGAGTTCCGCCCCGGGAAGGCGGTACGGGGAGGCCTGCCGGAAGCGCGAGCGCACCTGGAGAGAGGCTCGGCCCTGGGGTGCTTTCTGCGCACGCGCGGCACGCCTGGAGCCGTGCCCGACCCGAGGCTCGCTGAGCTTGGCGCGCGCGGGTCTCACGCCCGCTCCGAGGAGGTGCGCGCCCCCGTCCCGCGCGCCCCCGCCCGGCCCAGCCGCGGCGCGCTCCGCGGCCGCTCTTCAGGCTGGGATACCGGCTTTCCCGCCCCTGCGCGGAGAGCCTCGGGCTCGCGCGCGGGCGGGTCGTGTCCGGGGTCCCCGCACCCTCCCCAGGCCGGCCGGCAGGGCGGCGGCCCGAGGCCTCGCCGCGGCGCCACGCCGCCCGGGCCGTGGGCACCGCCGGCCGCCCGCCAGGCTCCTCCGCGCCCTTCAGATTCCTGTCGGACCTGCGTCTTCTCTCCGCGCCGGCCACTCCTGGCCTCTGGTTTGTGTTGGTGACCAGCGTGGCCCTGGCGACGGACGACAGCGAGCCGCCGGGCCGGGAGGCCGCGGCCCGGCCGTGCCCACCGGGGAGCCGGGGCGGGGCCCGGGCCGCCGGCGCCCCACCTCCCGCTGGCCCGCCCCGGAAGCCCCCCCAGGCCGCGGTCACCCCCGCTCTGCTCCCCCGGGCCGTGTGTGGTGCGGGCCCGTCTCTCGGCGGCCCTCGGTTGTCTTTGGGGGTTACCTTTGCCCCCTAGGTTCAAAGGTGAGAGGCCCACCCGCCCCTCCCCCTGGCGGATTCAGTGTGACATCTTCGTGGGCGACTCTAAGGTTTTTCCTGGCTGTTTGGGGGTGGCTGAATAATGAGTACCTTCCCGCCCCCCTGCAGAAAGTACCTGTGTGATTCAAGCTCAGGTGGAAATGCGCGGGGGCTGGCGGGGTAGCTGCAGGCCTGGTGGGTGGGTGCCGCCGTGCAGGCTTATCTGGCACTGTAGGAGCATTTATTTTTATTTTTTTTGCCAGTCCTGGGACTTCAACTCAGGGCCTAGGTGCTGTCCCTGAGCTGCTTTTGCTCAAGGCTAGCGCTCTACCACTTGAGCCACAGCGCCACTTCCGGCTTTTTCTGCTTGTGTGGTGCTGAGGAATCCAACCCAGGGCTTCATGCATGCAAGTTGAGCATTCTACCACTCAGCCACATTCCCAGCCCCTCCAAGTATTTTTTTTTATGTATGTTCTATCAATACTGATCCAATTAGAATTGGAACCAAGACAAGTTTCAAACAGTACCCATCTGCTAGGGACTGGTAGCTCACACCTGTAATCCTAGCTACTTAGCCAAGATCTGAAGAACACAATTCAAAAGCTGCCCAGGCAGACAAAACCTTGAGTCTTACCTCCAGCTTTCCAGCAAAGATCCTGAAATTGAGTGCCAGCCTTGAGCAAAATGCTAAGGGAGAGCACCAGGGCCCTGAATTCGAGCCTCAAGTACCGGCATCAAAATAAATAGATATAGAAATAAAACAACACACATCAGAACAACAATGTCACTGTATATCATCTCCATTCTGGAAAAGTCTGTCATGTTCTTGTGAGACAAGACAGCTGAGACAAAATGACGGCTTAGTGGTATGTGATCAGATTGGCCTCAGGAGCTCCATGAGAAGATCTCTGGGGTTCTCAGCGGTGCCCCAATCTGCACTGATAAACTTGTCACTACCTGGAGGAACCTCCAGTGTCCATCTTCTTTACACTCCACCTGGTTGGCAGGCCTCTTCTCGTCCCAGGCGGGAAAGGGGGGGGGGGGGGGCAGGTCGCCGGGTGGCTGAGCTTTGAGCTTTACAGCTGTGACTGTTATCCACACTCATGTATCAGGTCTCTGAAAGAGGAAGTTCAGGGGTGCCAACGCACCTGCGTGGGCCCTGCATTCCTGGAGGTGTCCTCACATCCTCCCTGCCCTCCCCTTCTTGGGGTGTGGCACCCCTAGTCATAGATTTTCCTTTCCAGAAGAGAGGGGCAGCCCAGAGCTTCCTGGATCTGGTAACACAGACCTGGCGACGTCACTCGGCGCCTGGGTAGTGTACAGGAGGAATGTGGGGAATGACTTGAGGTTGATAAAGGTGTGTGGAGGAGGGAGGGTTCTCCTCCATTCCTGGAGCGGAGTGGCCCAGGGAGACTATTCTCCAAGCTTGATTTCTTGAGAAACATGAAACCTAGACAAACATCATAAAGAGACTTCTGCTTCTGTCTCTTCAGGTGTTTTTGTTTTTTTGTAATTTTAATAGAGTCTTACTCTGTAGCCTACCCTGGCTTCAAACTTACAATTCTGCCTCTGCCTCCCAAGTGCAGGATTACAAGTATGCACACAACACCCAGCCTTGTTTCTTCTGCTTAAAGCCTGACTGACCCTCACCTCATTTCTCTCCATCATCCTTCTTTCCCCACCCCCAAATCCTCTAGCCAAAGCTGCTCAAGACCTACATGTGGACAAGAAAGCTGGTCCCATGGCCTGTGAGAATTAATACCCAGTGGCTTAGAGAGATAAGAAAGGAGACTATCTGACCAGCTGTGTAAATTATAGGTTCCCCAAATCATCAGTCAGGAGCGAGCTATGGGGGAGTGGGGTATAGTACCATAGTCTCACACCCACACACATTGGGCCTCTGACCTTCTCTGCCCTCTGGGAGAAGTTAATGAGGGTTATGCTTTTGCATAACTTTCTGTCTAAGTTCTACAAACAGCTGTTAGCTTCCTTTGAAATCTACCTTATGTGGTGGAGTTTGTAATTTTCCACAATGGGTGGTTTTAATTCACATTTTGTTTAATGATAACTCTGTCTTTCCTTCTTCCTCCAACTCACAGAGAAGGAAAAGAGGTGGCAGAGGTCATAATTTTTTTTTTTCCGGGGAATTTCTCTTGCCAGCTCTTTTTCTTCTTGGTTGCTCAAGTTCTGGTTTTGGTGGAGCTGGTTAATAATTCTTTGAAAAAGGGCTGAAGTGTATGTTTAGGAATCCCAGGCTACTCAGTGAAGCATTTTAAGTCCTTTAGCAGAGGCCAAATTAAATCACGTGGTCTGCTTTCTGGTTAATGGCTTATGAGGCTTTACCCGTTTGTGTGGGGGCTGGGGAAAAAGGCACACTGCTAGAGAAACAGAAATATTTCGGGTAGCATCTAAGGAGCTTCATGCCCATTTAGGTAAAATTTAAAAAAAAACCTTCGAGAGAGGCAGAATGGGCCAGGCATCATGCCTAACTCTTAGCTTTGGCTTGGTGCTAACCTGGCCCTCTCTTGGACTCAGTTTCTCCATCTGTAAAGGCAGGCATGGGATGAGGTCATCTTCCCCCTCCCCGCTTCCAGTGCTCAGCAGTCCCCGGCTCCCAGGGGATCATGGGGGATGAGCTTGTTTCAGCCTCCACCGGATGACCATAAACTGTGGATCCAGGAGCACACAGACAGGCTGCGGTCACCTGCCTAAACGCTCCATCCCAGGAGGTAGTAATGAAGATGAGGATGGCTGCTATTTCCAAGAGACAGCAGGAGCCAGGACCTGGGCTAAGTGCTTTTCCATGGATGAACTTAGCTTTGTTTTAAGTTGCATGGAAAAGCAATGAATCTTGTAACATCAGAAGGGGCTGGTGATTGGAGCTGATAGCTGTTGATTGCAGTTCTCTCTCGCTGGGAGACTAACCCTGTTTTCTTAAGCATGCAGCCTACCCCCCCCCCCCCAGCTGTCCTCCTACATGAAAGAGGTCTCCCTAAGTGCCTAGAAATCCCTTGAGCTGGGGGTGGGGTGGGGCTCAATGGTAGATCAGGACCCTGGGTTCCATCCCCAGTACAACAACAAAAATCTCCCAAACTCAGGACTTGAGCTAAATACCTAACAGTAGACATTCATCTGCCACTCCTATGTGACCTCAGTCAAGTTCTTAACTTCTCTGAGTCTCTGTTAACTCATCTGTACCATGAGACTAATAGGAGCAATACTTGCCTTAATTCATGTACAAAGCCCTGAGGAGGGAGCCCAGCATTGAGTAAGAGCCCCATAAATATTACTCTCAACTGTCATTATTGCTCTCTAATTGTTACCTACTACATAATACCTTCACATAGCTCACTAGTTTATCAATTATTAAGTGCACATGGTTCACTAGTGTATCAATTATTTATTAAGTGCCAAATGTGTCAGCATGTAAATTGAGCTCCTAAGGGAAGAGGAAAGGAAAGAAGCTGATTCCTGCCATCCAGGTCCGCCCAGCGCCCCGCATTGTCCACACACGGGTTGTCCACAGACACTGTGAACAGCCACAGCCAGCAGACCAGCAGAGCACCTGCCCCCACCACACCCCTAAGAGGGAACTACCCAGCGTCTCTAAAAAGGGTGGCTCATCCAGGGTCACCTCTGATCCTATCACCAGCTAGCTGTGGAACCC